CGGATGGGGTGAACGAAATTATTTATGAAATCTCACAATACCTTGACAATAGATTATATCCGCTTTTGAGGTGATTAACTGTTCTATTGTGAAATTAATTTGTTTTGGTTTTTGTTTGTCCTGAACTAAACATATTGTTTGTCTCTTTTATTTCAAACCCTTAATTGGGGGATGGATCTCACAAGGTAATTTTAGGTCTCCATTTCTCTGGTCAAAAACTGCAAATTCGGAGAGATGAGTTATTAATTATGAAGTAGTTGTGCGCATGGCAGTGACCTGGACGCATCCTTCCGATATAACTTGGGGTTAAAAACTTCAGAAATTTGCCGCTGAGGTAAAAGATCTTCTGAAGGCTTCTGATGCTTAGATATTTGAAGTGAATCTTCAAAATTTAACATCATATCATCGGAGTGAGGCGACTGTTTATTCTGAGAAATGAAAGTGAGGTAATTTTCTCCAGACAATGCGATACTCCAACTTGGTAACAGTAGCGTAGATTCCGGTTGTAGGTTATTGCAGGGACAACATTTGGAGCCGATGTGAGTGGAGTATTGGCGTCGTTGTTTGGGCAGAACCTTAACGAGACCCTTAGTAGAAATTGCAATAAATTTGTGCTTTTGAGAGATCGCTAACTTCTTACGAATCTCACTACAGGCAATTAGCCGGACGACGTGGTCCGGGTGTGCTTTGTTTTCTACGCCTGCCTGCATGTATCCATCAACGGCAATTCCATCAGGGAAGTCTACGAGCTTGACCTCTATCTTCTCACTAGCTGGCGCCTTGAAAATTCCGTCCTGGGTATGGCATGATGGTGCTATTTTTGAGCTTCATTGTACAAGCTGTAATGATTTGTGATGATTGAAAGCGCCAGTTTCAATGGCACTTCTTTATTGACGAGTGACGGCTTGTGACGCCTTTTTCTGTACTTCACTATATTAAAATAATATCGATACATCAACATTACACACAATTACAACGGTAACTTCTCAAGGTTTGAAAGGCTAGATTTGCACGTCGGGTAGTGGTAGTGGGGTGGTTGAGAGATTGGGGACCCTCTAAATTCCTCAACGTATCAAAAGAGGGAAGCGGAGGGGGAAAACAGAGGATGGAGGATAAGATTCTGACCCTGATGCCTTTAGCGACACGAATAAAAGAACGCCTTTTCTCCCTTATCATGAAATCAATCTAGGTGCGCCACGAAGTTCTCTCAGATCGTATTCTTTGAATTTCTCGACTTCCATAATCTTTCGTTCCAAAGGATGCATGAGGTGATGTTGCAGAACCAATCAAAATGAGAGTATTTCGGCAGTTCAATAGATGGTGAACAACAGATAGATTTTATTCAAACCACTAGCAGCGGTTATACACTTTTCCAGAATGACTCATACTCTTCATTTTTTACTGGGTATCACCTTTGATATGTAGTCCTTAATTTAATAGGAGTACCTTTTCCTGAGCTGATATGCGGACTATGAACCATGTTTTGAATCCGTGCTAGAAATTCCAAATATAGTCGCAAAAAGGAGCATTTATATCTGTAGGCTTAGATATCTGATGCTTGAAGAAACTCTAGTTCGGATAGGGCAACACGGCTTTTATGACTGGCTCGTCTACTGTTCCTGCAAGCGCGTGCTTCTCAAAATTCCTATGATATTTCTCCACATGTCGCACTTCTGGATCTGTCCTCCAGATCAGAATTACATAGATGATTCCCCTTTGCGCGCTACGAAAAAAGAACTTGACCAGCAGCCTTACGAAAGACTGCAATTATACCCGCTCGCTATTACTATCCGCTTATGGATAACAATTAGATCCAGCGGGGGGCTATCGCATCTGAGCATTATAAAGTAAACGAATGTCCACGCTCGCTAAGTGTCAACATTGTTTATTAGTTAGTGTCGTCGTACTCACAGCACCACGCGGATCTTCCGCCTAGCTACTAACTACTTGAGATTCCAAGGAGGAAGGCGCAGACCGATTCTGAGGCGCTGTCGCAAGCATGCGACATGTGTGCTGGCGGCGAAGAGCTTTCAGATGTGTGAATATTTCCTTTCAATCTCAAAAAATGGCACTTAATATGGAGAAGGGCGAGGCCCGAGATTGTAACAATAAGCCATCTTCTCACTCTCTACCAAATTTCCATGACACCACTAAACTAGCTTACTTCCAGCTGGATGTCTCCATAATCCATAATCTTGAGCGCCGAGTGGCCATGTAGATGTTAAAAATCAGGAAAGAAACGAGCGTGAGCGTAGGAACGAAACAGCTGGCATGAGAATATGCACGTTCAAACGGGTCCCATCCTTCAACCAGGTCTTAGCATGCATGTGACCACGACTTGACAAGAGAAATGGAAATTGCAGCACGGTTTGACACATACGACACCGTACATTGCGATAGTGCCGAATGGCTTCTTGCCATTTCTTGATACAAGAGTATGCCTTGTCGGTGGTTACGGAACATACCTTATTGAACCCAGCTTCCTCGAACACATCTTGGCTACACACGGAGCGCCCTCCTCACTTCTTAAAGCCAAATATCAGTACAGACACTTCATCGGAACATCAGCGGAGAACTACGGGCAATTTCAATGATTCGACGCATAGAATTTAAATAATTTCCATAGGGACATGTTGAATCATGAAATGGCACGGTTCGTATTCAGTTAGTCCCGTACAGAAAATAGCTGCTGTCATCTGCAGTCCTCACGATGGAAACATTCTTTTGTTACTTCGCTGGTCAAGAAGGATTTGGATGCATTTTGGCATTCAAGAAGGATGCATTTTCCTCCGAGGCTATTCGAGAAAGTCTTGAAAAAGCATGCTTGTTCGTCACTTAACGGCTAATCGTCTCATTTCAAGGCATCAGCATGGTTTTGCTCCAGGTCGTTCTGTTGAAACAAATCTAATCGAATGCCTCAACGACTGGACTGAAGCTCTTGATAACAAGCTCTCCTGCGATGTCATTTATTTCGACTTTGCAAAAGCGTTCGATAGAGTTTCACACAAAAAACTGATCTACAAGCTGGAAGCCTTGGATTTCACCCGCTTCTTACGAGGTGGATTTCAGAATATCTGAGGGATAGAACGTTCCAGGATTAAGATTGACCAGTCTTTCTCAAATGTTAGGCGGGTGCTCAGTGGTGTGCCCCAAGGAGGTGTGCTGTCACCGGTGCTTTTTAATATTTTTACGGCCGAACTCCCGACATGCTTCATGAAGCAGGTGTTACAGCAAAGGTATATGCAGACGATATGAAAATCTATAGACCAATCTCAGCAGTGATGGATTCCAAACACTCCAGAAAGCGATTGATCTAACGGTAATACTGGTCCAAGCAGTGGCAATTGCCTATAGCGCCACACAAAACAGTGTTCATGCAACTAATGTCTGGAACTTCACCGTCGATGCGATCGTACACTGTAGATGGCGTGCCTCTCTCTGCTGTAGAATCTGTCAGAGATCTCGATTTCCATCCATTATAACAGTACACTAGACTTCACGGAACACATAAAACGAGGATCAGAATGGCGAATTAACGAATTTTCCAAATTTTCAAAAGCTCATCCCTAGCTACTGAAAGATGTCTGCTGCGTGCTTACAAGTCTTATGTGCGACCTCCTGGTTGAATCCAGCACTACGGTATTCAACACCACAAGGAGGAAGCATGTTATGCGCTTGAGAAGGTTCAGAATAACTTTACTCGTAAACTGCTTATTCGAATCGGTGGTTTTTTGTACTCCAAATACCAAAAGCAGCTATAAGGAATGAGTATCTGGGACTGACATCTTTAAGAAGTGAGGCGCAGAGTTTTCGACCTCTGTCTGGTTCACAAAGTGGTACAGTACACGTCTGGTTACGTTTCTAGACAAAGTCGTATAAGTACTACGTCCTGGTTACGTTCTAGTGATTGTATTCAAGATGAAATCTTCGAGAACTAGGACAGGCTCCGTGATATGATGTGACGCGCCCTAAAACTAACTTGAGGGCGAGCTTCAGCCTTAGGGCCGGTAGTGGTTTGAAGTTATCGAAGAAGGAACCCGTTAGTTTATCGCTTTGTTTGATTCAAGCACCGTGTTGTTAAATTATTGCCAAGCAAAGCTACGTCCTCATGCTTTCTGAGACTGATTGACAGCTAGCTTATGAGCTGTTTATTTCTTTTAGTTGTATGCAGATTTTTGCTTGATAATTTACATTGCGTGTCTTACACTATCTCAAGTTGCCTTCCCAGCGTAAGAAACTTGAAACTTGTAAGCTTACCAGTTTATCTCCGCGCGTTACCGCGCGCACGGAATCAAAAGCTTCGGCGCAACTGTACAGGTCGGTGGAGCGTTAGATTTCCACCGGTAGGAGTAAGTTGCTTCCAGAAATGCGCTAGCTCACTGTCCGCTTGATATGCGCGGTGGAGTACGGAGTTAAAGTGATGTCTGTAATGGAGCGTTCATAGTTGGCGATCGTACGTGCGATTAGGCGATTAGGCGATTAGGCGATGATTCAAAATGAAAAGTATACGATCGATTAGGCGATTAGGCGATTAGGCGATTAGGCGATAGGCGAGTAGGCGATCAGGCGATGAGTAAAGGATACGTATCGATTAGGCGAGTAGGCGATTAGGCGAGTAGGCGATTAGGCGAGTAGGCGATTAGGCGAGTAGGCGAGTAGGCGATTAGGCGAGTAGGCGATTAGGTGATATCTGGATTGTATGCAACACTTTGACAAGATCTGCTTTTACCAACTAGTAGTCTAGTGTATGGGTGAGAAGCTAATATGCCTATGCACCTCAATTTTGACGACTAAAGAGTGCGCCGTGTGCAAATCAGGAAATGCTTTTAGTTTTCTACCCGTTCTTTGTACAGTTATGTAATGTAAGTAATCCTTTCTTGCTGAATTCAGTGAATGTGTGCTCTTCTGCAGCACGGTTTGCTACGTGGCAGACGTGGCTGTGGTCCTGATAAAAGATTTTATATCAGTGTGGTATCGTCTCTTATCTGAGTGACACGCTTATGCCACGTCAAGTAAGACTCGTCTAAGAATAAGTGCGAGGGACGAGGTTAATGTTAATTCATCATTAGCGCAGCTCAGGTGAGTTCAATCCATTTGTGTGGATGTTCATGGTCGATTTAGATTCTCATTGGTGTTGGGTCGTTTTCACGTGTGCCTTGTGCAGACATAATGAATTTTAACTAAAATTTGATACGGTCTTTTTACAACAGCATCCATATTTATTACAAAGTAGGAATTATTGTTATGTTTATCTGTCATATGTTTTGTCTCCTATAGAAATCCTTACTAGAACCATATAGATACTTTAAGAGACGATTATGAAACAAATAAAAGTAAAGTATGGAGGTTCTCAACAAAAAAGTCACCGAAGATCTACCGCTCCACAATCGTAGATGATGATTAATAGCCTAATCGCCTACTCGCCTACTCGCCTACTCGCCTACAACGCCCTCAGGGCGGAGCATACAAGTCGATACGTATGTAGTCTTCACCGCCTAATCGCCTACTCGCCTGATCGCCTACTCGCCTACTCGCCTACTCGCCTAATCTATACGTATATTTTTCATTTAGACTAATCGCCTAATCGCCTAATCGCCAACTATGAACGCTCCATAAGAATCAAACAAAATTGACAGAATATGTATTGGAAATTTTCATTTTGAGAGATCGTAGTCACACATAACTTTCCTATCCATCGGAACACTTTACTCACTGGTGAAAAACTAAAAATTTCGAGAGTGCCTTACATGTCTGGCAATCCACGACTTCGCATTAAAGTGATGAATGAGGCATGAGGAGTGCTCCAATTACAATCCACGTAAAGTCATTGACCAGTGCTGGAGAATACTCTTGACTTAATTTTTATTGCAATAAATTTTTTGGCTGTGGTGTCAATGTAAGGCAACAATATTGCAACGTTAAATACTCAGTCACAGTTTTCAGGGAAGTAACTTTCCAAAATGTCGAAGGCCTTACCGAAGGAGGGTCTTGCCATTCCTCATCTTTTTCCGCGACAAAGAAAACAAGGAACATGACAAACTTTTCATCGATGCGGTGAGATTATTATGGAAATGCTTTGGGGAAGGGAAGAATGTTGATTGATGAAGTTGATCGATTCAACGTGGGATAGTTTCCTAGGGACATTAGCTCTAACTATGCAAACCCCCTCGGAACCCGCCCTTCGGAACCCGTCGTAACGGTACACGATCAGTCGAGAACCCCATTGAGCTCGACCAGAGCACCATGTTTCCGGGGCAAACTTTTCTGATGCCGTCCACGTAGATGCCACTATGAAGATTTTCTTATGAAATGAAATGCGCTCTTCAATTCTAAGTTGGGAGCACACGCTTTGAGCTGAGCAAAGTGTGATTAAATCCATTTGAGTCTGGAGACAAAATGTCTTTTTTTATTGCCCCCCCGTATACAGGAACTTCAAAGAACTGTCTCGTTCATCAATAACAGGTTTTAATCAAGTCTCAGAAGGATAATGCTGATGACCAAGTATAAGTTTAACCCCATCATGACTAATATATTGCGGAATAAACTAATTTTCGCAATATGACTCCCACGAGTGCAAAGTCGAAGGAGCTCCTGATCTTCTCGTATGTTGCTTGCAGACTTCCTGCTTCATCTTCCGAGCTCTCTTCAAATTTTTCTTTGTGCACATCAGGATGACGAACTCGGTAGACCTTAATTAGGGATCACCTGAAATAAGAGGTTTATGTTGGTTATTATTCGGTGCTAGCAAAGTCGGGCCGCTGGGATCGGCACCACTCGTAGATGAACTCAGAAGGCTGGAGCACTCTGAGAGAGAGCAAATCATCCTATTTCCAGAGTGAGACTTAGGCCGAGCTTTTACCTTGTTTGGCTCAGGTGTCCGGGTTTGCTGATCACCACAGGAGTCACCAAAAAAATTATGGCGTCTTGATGCTTTTTCAACCAATGCAGGGGTAGAGTTTGGTAATTTGAAAACAATCTTCCCCTCGCCACCCTCGACATTTCTGGTCGGAATGCAATTGTTTTCAATACTGATCCGCTCGACTGTTGAAATTTTTCTGTAGCAATGAAGGATGAAGTTGTGTTATTTCGCTGCAGCGGGTCAGCAACCTTTTGCATTTTTCGGGCCCTCTGCTGCGCGTGCGCCACATAGCGCATGAGATGGCACTTGTGCATATGATAGATGCGGCTATGTAGCTTTTCAATGGCCATCTGCCTCATCGACGATTTCGAATCGTCCAGTTCCTTTGCTGTTCTTTTGAAGGAGCATCGTGGGTTGCGGTCAATTGAGAACGGAATATTTCAGTCACCCTTTCTCTAGAATGGCTGCCTTTCTCCTACTTCGGTCTCATGCATAATGGACACTGTCACCCTTGTGTCGTTTGCTAGTCCACTGTACATCCCTAATAGGAACAGCAAAATATTCTGCTATGTCCTTCCTTAAGGCCCTGCCCGGTGCATAGAATGATAGCAGGTCCACACTGGAAAAGCTTTTGCCAACTTAGAGATAGTAGATTTAACCCCAGCGATGGTCGCAAGGCCTTTTTCAAACCATACAAAGAGTCGGCAAGTATAGTAAAAATTACAGATAACTTTACTCGCTGAATTTTCAGAATTCGGGGCCCTTACTTTTGGGACACCCTTCGATAGTATGACCCCTTCATTTTCTAAATTCAGGTCGTTCGTGAGCTGTACGGTACACGTATGACAATCAACCCGTTGTTAGCCGATGGCCGTGTGTTCGCTCACCCGCTTCAGCATCTTGGTAAAACCTTCCAGGTATTTCAGGTTCAAGGCTGTCCCCTCTTGAATACTTGACAAACACTGTTATGAACGCACTTTATTTCTAATATTTCGTAGGAATGGTCATTATCGTTCCAAGATTTTCATTATTTTAACAGTGAATATGTACATTGTTTCGCGGATGCGATCATCTTAGGCTGGAATGCAATGGAAAAATGCAAATGCCAATCTATATTAGATGAATAACACATTTTTCTCTCAGGATCTGCCGGTTCTGGCGATCGACTCCTTCGTACACATGTTCGTCTTCCCAAATATCTCTGAACTGTCCAAACCAGGTGTTCTCAAACAGGTTAGCATTCTTCATTTCACAATAGTCATTGAAGGAAAATCGGAGTGTGTTTTAAGGGAAACGTATTTATTATAAGGTTGTTCCATAAGTAATGTCGCTTTTTCAAACACAAAATTTTCTGCTGCAATCTCAAGTCTTACACCACTTAGTATTCATTCAGAGGAAATTTGTCTCCTTCACCATTAAATTGTCTTTGTCTGCTTTACCATAGAATGGGGACCATTAAATTAGAGTAAGCTGTTGGTATGGCAAGTATCGCCTACTGGATCTCCCATTTCGAGACTCTATAAATTCAAAGTGTTTGCAAAAGTCTGGAAGGGAAACAAACATTTCTATACTACAAATTACTCTCCAATGGTATTTGACACGATGTCAAAACATAACATGGGATTTTATCAAGAAATTCTCTGTTCAAAGATAGCGACACTACTTAGTCGAACAGCTAAAATCACACTGCGTCCATAATTATACTCCCCGTAAAGAAAATTGCCCAAATCTGCAACGCGATATAGCACTGTTTTCGTACGAAAAAAGTCTCCTATGTGTCAAAATGTATCGCATATAAATACGCAATTGCCTATGAACATCAATTTTCTATTTGAGATCACAGGAATTTTTCCCAATAATTTTTGTGTAAAAGGCCACTCAGCCGACGTCCCAAAATTATACGTCCACCTCACGTTTATCAATTACTTTTCACTTCTGTTCCACGAAACTTTTTCATTGTGGTAACACTTCACTTCTTAAGGGAACAGCATAATAAAGACTGCTGTTGGATTTTGAAAAAAGGGAAAAATATCGCAGAAACTGTTGAACAACGCAATCGCACCAAATTTGGTCCAGATTCACACCAAGCTTGAGAATTTTTTCAGAGGTTTTCACATGATATGGAGTTTAGAAGAGCTCTAAAAGTCTCTCATTACTTTTCGATGGAAACAAAGGCCGTGTTACAGAAAAAACATCCACTTTCATCCAACGGTGCTCTGTCATCGAATCTTCTTGAGAACTTTATGCCTCAACGGACTTTTGTTTCATGCATGTAAAGGAATCCCAAGATCATTCTTGATCGGAAAATGTGAAAGACGTTCATTTATGGCAAGGAATCGTGACGAAAACTGGGCTGATTTTTGCATGAAGGTGCAGCCGAGCCGACTGGAGCAGGGTCCCTTTCTCCTTGCTATGCATGAGTGTTTGTCTGTCTTTCTTTTCAACATTTTCTTTCTTTTAGTAGTGCTTCACTAAGAAAAAAGCCATTAAGGGAAAGGTAAACGTGAGAAGAGAAACAAACAAATGCCAAAACATATCGGGCAGAAGCGAACCTTACTTCAGTCGGCTCGGCTGCACCTTCATGCAAAAATCAGCCCAGTTTTCGCCACGATTCCTTGCCACAAATGAACGTCTTTCACATTTTCCGATCAAGAATGATCTTGGGATTCCTTTACATGCAGCATGAAACAAAAGTCTCCGTTGAGACATAAGTTCTCCACAGAAAATTCGATGACCAGAGCACCGGTTGTCAAAATGGCATCGTTTATTTTCTGTAACATGTCAGGCACTTTGTTCAAATCCGCGCTGGCCACACCCGCGGCATACATTATACGACTGTAACACGGCCTTTGTTTCCATCGAAAAGTAATGAGAGACTTTTAGAGCTCTTCTAAGCTCCATATCATGTGAAACCCCTGAAAAAATTCTCAAGCTTGGCGTGAATCTGGACCAAATCTGGTGCGATTGCGTTGTTCAACAGTTTTTGCGACATTTTTCCCTTTCTCAAAATCCAACAGCAGTCTTTATTATGCTGTTCTCCTTAAGAAGTGAAGTGTTACCACAATGAAAAAGTTTCGTGGAACAGAAGTGAAAAGTAATCGATAAACGTGAGGTGGACGTATAATTTTGGGACGTCGGCTGAGTGGCCTTTTCGTATAACACGTCCAACACAAAAATTAGAAAACAATTTTCGTGGCTGGGTCTCAAATAGCAAAATTGTATGTTTCAATCACGGCGATAAGTATTTATAGTGCGATAAGTATGTGACGTTAGCGAGCCCTGTTTTCAAACATCTATATCTGTGAGATTTTTGGAATTCTTAGGGACGTAAAGACGATTATGCGGACGCGAGTGTATATAACCGTCAACTTGCCTGAAGCTTACCTGTATTTCCGTCTAGCTGGCCCGGGTTCTATCACTTCGTCCTCGCTGGGGACATCAGTTGAGTTTTGAAAGCAGTGCTGTAGACGAACAGTATTCTTTATACAGCGCGGGCGACAGTAGCAGTCCTATGGCGGTAACCCAACTCGGACTCTAATGATGCCCCACAACTTGTATCTTAACCCGGCGATTTCGCTGAAATTCCCCATCACTAGGTAGCACTCATTGTGCGCTGATAAGCGAAAACATGAGATACAACTTGGGCAACTCTGTTGCTGCGTTAAGGTCTGTCTTACGCCCTTACCAAAAATACAAGCTCGCGAGGCGAGGTTTCAAGGAGAGAATAAGCCACCTCATCGTGTGGCAGAATGGCTGGAAGCTGATGGACTCACGTGAGGACCGCCACTGAGTGGGTGACTTCTACAGACCCGAAAAAGCGCATATCCCAGCGTCGCCCCCGCATGTTCGTAAACACAAAAACGTGGACCGGCCCAGCTACACCTTCGAATCATACCTAAGAGTCCGCAGTACATGGAGCAAAACCACAGCTATACAACTAATCGTTGAGCATTCGTTAACTACCAACAGAGAAGAAGACTATAGAACTGATCCACAAAATGCGCTATGCTAGCCACATGCGACTAGCCTAAAAAACAATAAGTCCGCTAAGCACCACACTGACTTATGTTCCGCGGCCTTGAAAGATGAATCATCATCAGCTAGGCGGGTTGCATCAAAGCGAATCAACGTGACATATACGGAGGTTGAGCAGACAGACTAAAAGAATCTCAAGCAGGAAGAAAACAACATCAATTGCGCGATCTGGTAAGACCATCGTGAAGAGAAGATAATCGAAAACGGTGAGCCCTTAAACTATTCAATTCTGAACCTTTGCTTGCGGTAACCTGTCATATCAATCGAATTCTAGCAGAGTACTCGAGATAAGACGTAGAAATTTTCGGGAAGATACAAAACTTCTTCTAGTCTGCGGAACATATCCTCTTATGACGTATGTCCCAGTATAGCAGGAGCGAAGTAACTTAGCATCCTGTTAGGCCGAGAACCATGTCAGCCGAGGTGCGCGCGACACCCATTATAGAAACTAGAGATCTTTAAGCTTCTTGTCGAGTCACTATCTTCCTTTCCGCTTTTTTTCCGTCACTCGCACGCATTGACATCCCAGTCGCTCTCCGCAACATTTCTCACCTTCCTTATCCACAGCATTAACCAGTAAGCTTCCGAGAGGAACTAACTAACGGAGAAGTTAGGTGTAGTGCAAAATGTCGAGACGGTTATCGACCTGAAACCTACGGAAAGTGAAGAGTTACCCATTTTCCGCCATTCTGTTGCGAATTCCTCAACCTACTCGACAGTTCCAAGTCAATCAACGATCATCTCACGTTGTACTTGCTGCAGGACATATGTTCTTTCCAGCTAGAATTCAATGAGGAAACTCCACAAAGACATCCTATTTTAAAGACAATAGGCAAAAATTTCTTGACTTTTGGAAAAAGTGGCGAACTTCAAAGAAGTGATGGAAATCTGGATGCCCTCATGTGGGCATACATCGAAGTTCACCAGCGCTAATATCGACACCAGCAACAAAAAGTCGGAGTGTGTGGGGCGTAGGGGAGGGGGGTGAGGGAAGGGGGGCGTCTTCCTGCAATCGCGTGAACGCTATTGTCAACCTGCTAGAAAATGAAGAGAAGAAGGAGCTCATTCACAGGAATCTTCCGTGTATTGCCCCTTATTTATTCTACGATTCCTTGAAAGAAATTGCTAAACCTGGCTAATTCTCAGCTTTGTTTAGCCTGTTTCATGGTATGTTGAAAACAAGCCCTCATTTTTTCGTGAAGCTTGTGTCGCTTAAAAAAACAGCATAACCGTTATGACTGGTCGAATAGTAGAGGCTTAGTGCTCAGGCTTCCTTCAAATGGGCTGAAGTACTTAATTTTACAGTATTATATTTCAACATGTTTTTGAAGAGACTAAAAGAAAGAATCTGCCTCCTAGATATCTTCTGATGTACCCGAGTCAGTATTCAAGGAGCTGCGGCCAAGCGAAAAACGCTACTCACTGCTGCAAAAGACCGAACTCTAAGCAAACTTTTGCAGATTTTCTTGTTGTGTCATGAAATTTCAGAAGTAATTTTGTTACATATAGTTCACCGAAGTTGTTTATTGTATAGGTGGATTGTGTTCTCTGACATTTTGATTTTTTCGGGTATTTATTCAGGTATTAGCTTGAATAAAGTTGTTCTTATTTTTTTGAACGTTTTCCCGGCCCGCAATCGGACAGGGGTCAGACTGCGATTCGCGCGATAGTGTAAGTAGAGGTCATAGAAGCACCTACAATTACAGAGAAAAAAAACACATTCGTACGGCATTCCCCGTCTTCATTTATCTCGCATTGTGATACGTTTTAGTTTCCTTTGTGTTGTCTTTTAAAGGAAGCAGTCACGCTGGCTTCCACGCTGGATTTGCTACCCTCGCGTTATCAATCGATAAGGTGTGAGGCAGTAATTGTTGGACGAGTGTAAGCCCATGGAAGATATGATACGATGAGATAAGAAGGTGCGGCTGCTTGATAAGAGGTGCACTCCAGAATGAAAACGGGACGATAACGATAACGGTATCATATCTAGCACGCTCTTATCGCACCCCTTTCCACATCGATAAGTCTTGGTTTTTGCTGAACGGAAGTGGATTTCGGCGCCTTATCACTCCGTTGATAAGGCGCCACTGCCACTGAAACTTCACGTGTTCTAACATTGGGCAGGACCTCTACCCACTTCAGTACATAGCTTCTCTTCTCGT